TTTCCAGTTCCTATCTGTACCAGTATATATCCTCTGGTCTAGCTGGATTTTTTAAGGTGCTACTAAAATCTTTTATAATGCTAAAATGTATTGAGGCTTTCATATTTATCAATGATAATACTTTGTAAGCTTTATCCCATATAATTTTTCAAGTTAATTTGTGAAATTGATTCCTAGTAATTCCTCAGTTTTTAAATGAGGAAATTGAGGTTTAGAGTGGGTTAAGAAAGGTGCTGGATTTGAGCCTAGATCTGTCTGGTGACAAAGCCATGTGTTTTGACAGCTTCCTTTTCAGTCCCTAAAATGTGTATTTATTTTTCATTTGTATGCAGCATGATGCATATCTGTTTATCTACTGTTTTGGTTTTGTTAAAGCATTTTAAAAATTGCCATTTTAAACATCTTACACAGAGTAGTTTATACAGAATTGCATATAGAATCTTTGATTTAGTTGTATTAAGGAGACATATAAAGCAAAACATATTGAATAATCAAGTAGTTTCCAAGAGCAATCAGCTGGTAATCTGTTGAAAACCCTCTGGGGTGCATGTCTTTTGTGACACACTTGAGAATCTGCCTATCTGGCTGGAGGCTGCGTGTTGCTATGATGAGGAACACTTTATCAGCTTCCAGATGAAGAAAGGCTTACTGACGTATAGTAGAAAATTAGCTTATGAAAACTCTGTGGATCACAACTGTGCAAAGGTTCAGGACTGGATTCCCATGACTTGGGATCCAACTCAACCTCCTGTAACAACCATCACACAGGTGTCAGGGAAGGAATTTTCGTTTTAAAAATTGTACAAAGTATTTTAAAAAAGAAAATGAAATGTTCCCATGAATTACATAAAATTTTATTTTAATAAAATATGTAGAGTAATATGCCGGAGCCTGCCGGCGAGTCGAACCATCCTGAAAGTGGGAGTGAGGATTAAGGAAAAAAAGAGAGACAGAGTATTAGGAGGGCAACAGTGAATACTAAAGCCCCGAGTTTATTTCACACACTCCTTTTATCCATGCAGAAACAAACCCAGGACTATAGTTATCTCATTGTTAAGCAAGTGTTTCAGAGACACCTCAGCAACTTCATGTTCTGCCAAGCCAAGCATTCATAAGAAAATTTTACTTCTTGCTTCTGGACTTGCCTACTTCCTTGTACTTGTTCTAAATGGCCTGTCCAGATGCCAAACCACAGAGGAGAACAGCACGTAGGTTCTGAGAAATCTTAACCATTTCAAGGCTAGGGTGCAGATGGCCGCCAACAGTAATAATTTTCTTATTAGAGTCAGACACATCAACTTAGCTATTCTTTTCAAAACATCATAATAGTATTAGAAAGTTTAGCACATTAAATTATGAGGAAGGGCAGAAATCTTGAGGCAGACCTCAAGGGCCCAAGTTACTATATCATTGCATTAAATGACTTTGTTACTAGCTGGTGTGTGAAATTTTGAATTTT